TTCATCGAATCGTTGCTTCGAATCGTTGCTCCCCCGAGTGTGGAATCGAGTGGGAGGAAACGAGTGAGGGAAGGAAACGGATATATTTCTATATACTCGCCGGTCGTGTGTCGTCCTTGTGAAACTTTCTCGCGGGAATGCGAGCGACATTAATCGCGTGGCAATCGGGTGTGCGCCTTGTAGCCGCGTGACACCGATTCCTCGGGTGTTCGGGTACGGAATTTTTGGGGCCTCGAATTTCGTCACGTCGCGGGCAGATGGGACGATACGCGGGGAGATAAGAGGAACTGAAGAGGAAATACTCTCTTCTTTTTTTTTTTTTTTTTTTCGTCACTTCGAAAGCGTATAATCCATCTAACTGTTGGCAGTACGGTATCGTTGAACGCTAATATATATTTACACGTTATATCAAGCAAGGAGGAACGAGTAGCAAGTGATAGAAGTGATAGAGAGGAAAAGGGAGGCGGTTGTAAACGATCGAACGTTTCAGCGAAACGGTGTGTTAAATGACGAGGTGGTCCAGGAGGTGGAGGTGGTGGCGGCCCGGTAATACGTGGTAAAACGTTCGGGGCGAGAGAGATTCGGGGAAGGACAGGGTCGCCACCGCACGGGGAAGAAGCGACAGCGGCGTGGCAGATGAGATGTGAAGCACGAGGACTACGCGGCGTGGAGCTGGCGGGAGCGAAGGCGGAAGTTGAGAAGCCGAAGCTGCCGAAGGCGGTCGCAGGGGCGGCGGCAGCTCGAGGGGGCACCTGGCGGGGGCCGCCTGAGATGACGACCCTGCGACGGGGTATCGTGGCACCCCGGTACAATACTTACGTTCTGGTTTCGTTGATCGGACTGTTGCTTCAGACCCAGTCTGCAACTGGTGAGTGGTTGTTTATTTATCAACTAACTTGTTCTTCCACGGTAGTGTTATTTTATATTTTCGATCGATTTTTCGGAGGGGAAAATTGATTTTTGATTCTATCCAGAGAAATATAAAAGTTAGGATTGTAAAGATTGTCGTTTTGTAAGTTAATAGATGAATCGTAATTGATAGTTTTGTATGCTAATTTTTTATGTCTTTTTCGTCTCGATGAATATAACGTAACGAATTGTAGGTTAAAGTTTGGTTTTTAGTTGTAAAAGAGATAATTTTATGAAAAGGTAAAGTAATAAATCATTTCTACTTGCATAGATAGGATAGAAGAATGAAGTTTTCTTTATTTTTTGTCCTCTTTTTTTTCAAGTAGTTTTATTACAAATAATTTAAATAAAATGTAATTTTATTTATTTTATAACGTAAAAGATTATCAATGGATATTTTGTAAAATGTGCAAAATTATATTATATTTTCATGATTGTAGAGAATCATTCATTCTCTACAGGAAATGTTCGTGTTTCAAGTATTTAGTATTCAAAGGATTAAGTATGAATAGTTGAGGACAATACAAGATAAAGCTTTCATACGTTGAATTAAATTTAGTTTATAAAGGAAATGGAATAATTTTAATTATTTCCAGGTTTATCGTAATGCCATATTTTTTTTTTAATTTTTTTAATTGTTTATAATGTCAGGTTTTCTATCTTCGAATAGATAAGATGTTTGATAGGGTGGATATGTTGATTGTGTGTTTAACCCATAAAGCATATTAAATATTTTGAAGTTATTTCCGATAGTGGTTCTTGAATTATATCAAACGATTATCTAATTGAAAAAAAAGAGATAATATACAAAAAAAAATAATTTTTAATGTTTTTTTTTAATGCCATAATGTAACATGAATATATAATTTGTTTAATATTTATTCAGATTAATTTCCTCGCAAATAATTACTTTACTACTCAATTATTTCATTCTAGAAATAGACAAAAAATTATTGATACGTATTAAAAACAATAAAATTTAAAAATTTTAATTACGGAAATTCCATTTAATTAGCGATAAGAAAGGAGATAATAAAAAATAAAATAAAAAAGATGAAATACAATAATAAAGAAAGAAAGAAAGAAAGAAAGAAGAAAAAACAAAATTCATCGAAACCATACTGAACTCCATAATTCAAGGATGGTGATGTAAAAAGCTCACCCCGATTAATCGATAAAAATCAACGTCCCAAATTTCTCGCTTCGCATTGGCTGTATTAAGATGCAGCTGCTCGATATCATAAAAATGTCAGGATATTTCAGAAAAGTAGAACATTTTTGCAGGTTGTTCGTATTTGTACACCTACATTTTTTATTTTTATGCGAGAGATATTCATTATTCCACTTTTACCGTAATAATTATCATTGGATTGCACAAAAATCAGCACAAATAATTTAAATACGTTAAAAATATTGGAGCTCGTGATGCTCTTTATATTCCTTAAATTTATTGTTAATTATGAACAGCTATCGATATAGTTAATAAACGTCACACGATCATATATATTTATTGATAATAAAATATATTTATTAAAGTTTTAACATTACGCCTGTACATAAAACTGTACAGAAAATTTAAATAATTGAATTATTCATATATTCAAAAAATCCAAAATAATGAATAATACAATTTATATTCGTAATAAAAGTGTTCTAATATCTTTGAGTTTGTGATATGATATCCTAGTATCTTCTAAAAATTAATGTTAGGTGTATGAAAAATATTGCTTTTTAGTTTTTTCAAAAAAAATGAAATTTGTTTATGTATATGTAACTATACATATAAAGAATGAACTACATTTTACCATATTATTACACTCATTACGTTTTTATCTTTTTTTTATTTTTTTTATTATGAAATTACTATAATTAAAGCGAGGAATGTTGTGGTTAACTTTCTCCCTAATCAACGATAACGAACGTATTAAGACGACTATCTTCTTGTTAATATGATGCTTATTGTATTATGTTAGCATATATTAAATAAGGATTTATGATTTGTGTAATTTATAGTTATAATATAAAGTTTATTACTCATAATATAATATAAATTTCGAATGTACGAAAATTAATCTATCTTCTTCACATTTTATACTTCAACAATATTTATAAAATTATTTATAAATTGTTTATTACACGTAACAATGATCAGATAAATGTTTGAATTTGTATTATTATTATAAATTTAAAGATTATTATAAAATATGCAATAAAATAACAAAAATTGATGTATCCATTTTTCAATGTAAGTGTATAAGTGAAATTTAGATATTTCCAAAAGATAAAATCCATAGTTATATAGTTAAAAAAAGAAGAAAGGTGAAAATTTATGATGTATTAAATCTTTTATAACTGAAAGATGATGTAACGTAATATATCATTTGGCCCATTTTATCATCTTCTTTAACGCCAATTTCTTTTCAATGGAAATAAGATGAAATATGATGTACAGATTTATGATATTTTGTTCTGTTGTGACGATAATTTCTTGTAAAATATAGTTACCACATATTACAAATTTTTCTGATCTAAATTTCTATTTCTCTGTTCGCTTAATATTAAAAAATTAAAAAAAGAAAAAGAAAAATTTAAAAATTTAATCAAATATTATTTAATTTTTAGAAAGAAATTGTAACTTTTAAAAATATCGTAATTTTTTTTCCATTCTAAAATTAGACTATCTGATCATAGATTTATTAAGAAAATATTCGTTTTAAAAAAACTTTTATTCCTATCTCGTAAAGATAGAACGTATATCTAGATTATTAATCAGCATGTTTCTTTTTCAGTAATAATCATTGGAAATATTTTTCATTTGTATTTTTTATATCATCAATACATGTTTCTTCAATTATTAAAAATCTTTTAATGCATCGACAACGCGCTTATTTTTATTTCTTTTTACTATACTTCTATCTAACTTATAATACTGAAATTTATATTCAATATATGTTTTAAAAATACGAGAAAATTATCATTTTTATATAAAAACTACGATACAAAATTTCCGCAGATAACCGCAAAGGAAAATGCATCGAGATCGATTCGTTTAATCGAAAACCTCCCCTCCCCACCCTCTATCCATCGCAATCAATTACCGGACACTTTGCAAACGCGACAATAGTTAACGTCTAATGACAACTGGCGTTGACGTAACTCGAAACCAGGGTGTGTTCCGATTGTTATATACCAGGACTCCAATTCTCGTTACGCAAACAACGCGGAACAATCGATCAATCGAATTGTTTATTTATCGCGAAGTTTAGAATAAAGTGTGTCACCACCAACTCTCTGCCTTCTCTTCGATTCGATTCGGTTTGATCGCATTGTCGATTCGTTCCGATTTTAAAACGTAACAGGTAGACTAGAGGGTGGGCATATACTTATTTTCGTTTCGACTCGTTTATTTTCGCTACTTCCTGCCGAGATATTACGAGGAACATCGTTGGGAAGAAGAATTCGTCAAAAATTCGCGTGAATACGAGAATGTTATAAAATGAATTTATATTGATGATGAGAGGCGCATGCGCGCCTTAAATAAGCCTGATTCGAAGTATATTGTTTCGAGAAATGTTCTGAGAAAAATTTTTTTTCGAGATAGATAAAAAAATTTTTGAAAAATTTTTCTTCTTTGCTTTAGATTTAGAACAAAGATATAAATTTTCATGAGGATATTCAATTTCGATATAAAAGGGAACGAGTGATAATAATTGCAATTTTTTAGAAAATATTTTCGTTTTTATATCGTCGAATCATTATATAGAGATAACAAGTTACTCGTGTTAATATTATAATAATGAACGTGTATGACAATGATATCGATGAATATTCGTGGATGAGAAATATAATTTTTTTCTTATAAAAATTAAGAAATGTGTACTTATTTTTATATTTATATTTATTAATGAATTACCGAATAATTTATCAAATTATTAAATCATTGAATAATATCAATAGAAATATTTAATGCAATGAGATTGCATGGCAATTGATACAAGTAAAATACAATTTTATAAAGAAGTTTCGAAAATACTTTAGAAATGATATTTTAAGAAAAAATTAAAGCAAGTTAAAATAATTATTAAATAAAAGGTGATTTTTTTTTTAAGATATAAAGATACCATTTAAATTCGATAGAAAATTTTTATAATTAATCGGATCATTAGAGTAAACTGTTTTATATAGATAATGTAAATTATATCGTTCGGCATTAAGCATTAATAGAGTTAAGCGTTTAATGGTATTTATAAGCGGCAAAATACTTGCGATTCAAGGTTCTTAAATTAAAAAAGTGGACGTGTAGTGGCGACCAGTTGGATTGCATCTGCCGCAAGATAATTATATTGATAATTACATTCGTTGCAAAGGAACTACTTATTGTAAAGGATGCGATAAAGGGGTTTCGACTCGAAAAGAAAATCGCAAATAAGACGATATGTAGGATACAGCTGTGCATATACCTATAATAATCCATCTATTAAAGTATTCTCTACTTAATATTATCTTTGGCAATGCAGATATGGCAAAAGTACCATTACTTAGAAAATTATCTAAATCGAATATTATATTATATAAATATTTTACAAATTGAATCTTTCACTGTTCAAATTTAAACCTTTTATTTTATTATATATTAATAATAAATATATTTTCTTCGATGAAGTAATGAAACATTAAAACGAGAACTCTAATTTAAAGGAAAAAATGAAAATATTTTTAAAATTGTTATATTATATAGATATCCTTTTCTCGAATGATCATTAATATTATCCTTTCTTATTATAATTTTTATATCTTATTATAATCTTCAATTTTTAAATGTTATATTTAAAAATAATCTATACCATCGTGTCTTCATATTAATTTAATTTAAATTTATTAATTTAAATTTTATATTATTTTCTCGATAATCTTAACATCATGGATCAATAATGAAATTAGGTCCTATTACATTTTTTT